TTTTATGATATAATATACCTATATATATATCGACACCTTAATATATAAGGTCGGCCGCTGTGGTGTAGTGGTAAGCAGTGCGCGCTTTCACTCATCGGCACCTGGGTTCAAGCCCTAGTCAAAGCAACATCGCAAAAAAAAATATAGAAAAAAATGTTTTTTCTTAACAGCGGTCGTCCCTCGGCAGGCAAATGCAAACCTCCGAGTGTATTTCTGCCATGAAAAACAGCTTCTCATAAAAATACAATCGCCGTTCGGAGTCGGCGTAAAACTGTAGGTCCCTCCGCTTTGTGACATCAAGGCGCACGCCACAAATCGGAGGAGAAGCTCGGCCAAACACTAGCTTATGTGTCAATTCTATTATTATTAATATATAAGGTCCCTAACTCCTTTTCTTTCGAAATAGTGGCGGTAGATTACTCAATAAAATTTTATAGAAATTAGAAACCAGTACTATATAAAAAAAATAGTTTTTTAAAAACAATTTTTGGGAAATCCCCAACTTAAGAACCTTAGTTTTATAAAGTTTTGTAACTCCTCTGTAAAATAGTTTTAGATAGGGCCTTTTTATATTAAGGTGTACTACATTAACATATGCATTTATTTTACGACTTTTGCTAATATTCAATAAAATCCATACTATTTATCTTCCCATTGCACGCTTTTCAATGCCATTTGAAGAGCAGCTTCCTTTGTTTTCGCACCTCCTATGAATCCCGTCGAGTGGACGAAAATTAAATCGGGTATGTCTGCTACTTCCGACAGCTCTTCATCACGCAAACCACGCCACGGTTGTGGTAGAAACTTTCTACCCAAGAAACTAGTGGGTGATAAGGGAACTCCTGCGACACGCCAACTCTGTGCCTTTTCCGAAAATATTACCAGTTTCGCCACACCTTCAACATTATATTCCTTTTCTAGGTCAGCTAAATGTACTTTCCATGGGCAAAAGCGTTCTAGTATTATAATTTCGCCTGTCTCGTGTACGGATTTAGCTTTCTCAAGAGCTTTGCGTACGTACTCTCGACCCCTTACCCATGAACAGGCCACATCTAGAACATTCTCTACAAACTCTTTGCCTACCAGCTCCAAAGCACGCTCAAAACGTTTTTGTTCAATTTCGCTACCCTGTTCATCTTCCCAGGATGGGTTTAGTCTGTGTACCCGAGATGACAGATGTGTTGATATTTTATACAGAGGCTCTCCTACATCATTTTTATACATTGGCACACCATTATCAATAGCGTCCATTTCGCTTATAAAATTCCGATAGATTTGTTTATAGCTTAACTTTAGGTTTTGAGGAGACAATGGTGCTTTCCCATTCTCTTGCAGAACACTTTCAATTACA